ATGGTACGATTACTTCAATTCTCAAATTTAAGTGGAGATATTTTGCTCTCAAACACTTTAATACACTTAATTTTGCACGGAATTATTATAAATAAAAATTTCCAAGAACGAAAATTGTAAACATTTTTAGAATTACAGGCAGTTCTTAGCCTGACATAGTTAGTGACTCACGGATAAGAGCTGATAAATCATTTGTCATCAATAAAGCGCAAGCAAGAACAACATCTGTACAATCCCTATTTGTTGTCAATAAAGCTCAAGCAAGAACAACAATAAGACATCTGTACAATCCCCTCATATCTAAGTTAACCTATGTTCATCTGAAGGCCTATACTTCTCTACCAAGTTCCACTGGTAGATTACATACGGAATCACACAGTACTTTGATCTTTTGGACATGCTGCATAAACAACAACATGACATTGGTAAAGAGATGTCATCCAAGAATAAGAACCGTAAATGCAATTAGAAATCGGATAATGTCGATGAGGTAACACATAAACAATTGCACATCATATGCACGAGCATAACTGCGAGAAGGTAGCAACAGTTTCAAAAACAGCGGCGATTTCATTTAAAGTGGGTCCCACTTAAAATATAAAATTAATTTTATTAATACTTAAATAATGACTCACGATGATTTTTCATAGTTTGCGACACTTTTTAGTTTGATGGTGGAGAATTCAATACTAAATTAGGAATTAGTACATTTAGATAAGCATTTTTTTTTGCATTACTGGAGGCATCAAGCCAAAGAAGAAAGAAGATTACAGGGGAAAGAGAGACTCAGAGGGGGTAGGAGAGGTCAAAGCCACCACACTTCTAGAGTAGGTGAGGCCTCAATGATCGTCCTGCACAAGAGGTTGAAGCTCCTCTGGTGGTGTCTCTAGTTCATACATACCGCAGGGATAGACGAGACTGTGCTTCGAGAGCTAGTCCACGACTCTATTCCCTTCCCTGTATGTATGAACTAGATTCACCACCCAATCTTGAGCGATCTTCTGTCTAATAGCCGTGAGAAGGGCAGCATACAGATGAAGAGGGTCAGTCTTGTGGTTCACTAGTATGGCCACTTGAGAGTCTGTTTCCACTATGAGGGCTCTGCATCCGCTGTTCCAAACTAGCCTGAGACCATGATAGATGGCCCATATCTCGGCCATGGTTGCAGGACAACAGCCCAAGCTTGTGACGAACCCACCTACCCACTCGTTGTTGTTATCCCGCAACACGCCACCTGCCCCAGCAGTCACCTGCGTTTGACCTGCCGCACCATCCACATTCAGTTTCCGCCACCCCGCAGGGGGTGCCTTCCACCCAATCTGGATATTCACTCGATTAGGAGGGGTATTCGTCCTGCCAATCAGCAAGCTTGGAGCTTTCCATGCTCGGAACCAAAGGTCCGCCTTAATCCGTATGGACTGAAGAAGAGAAGGAGTGGACAAGGTCTTACTCACTCCATTAAAGGATCCTTCATTTCGGTTCTTCCATATGCACCACAAAGCTATGATGAAGAAGACATTCCAAGGCAGGTCGACATCAAGGATCTCCTCCCTTGTTAAATTCTTCTTCAAGCAGTCGTCCCACTGCCAGCTAAAGAACTCAAGTTGGGATGCTTGCCCGATCATGCGACTCCACAGGTAAGCAGCCGGCGGGCAGTCCCTGAAAAGGTGCAAAAGATTTTCTGTATGGTTGACACACCTGCAACAAGAGGTGTCTTGTGTAATATGTCGTTGTCCCCTTAGCTCATTCGAGCTTATCCGTCCCAATGCCAGCAGCCACGCAAAATAACGGACCCATTCTGGAACGACGAGTTGCCATATCGTCTTCCACCACTGATGCTCGTTTCTGGGTAGCGGCTGTTGTTGCATGTGATATGCACTTTTCGTCGAGAATCTCTTATATGAATTTAAGGTCCAAAACAGGGTATCTTCCTCTGTCGCTAGGGGATCCACCATGTGAGTTGTGATCTGTCGTTGAATCTCCAAGGGAAGCAAAATGCTAAACTTCTCCGTCTTCCAGTTTCCTTCTTCGTCGGCATAATCCGCCACCATAACGTCTCGATCTTCCTCTAGTATCTGATCCATTGCTAGTTCTTGGAGAGGTACCTGTGTCATCTAGATATCAGACCAAAATTTAGTGTGATTTCCCTAATGAATGTTCCAAGCGCACCCTTCTTTAATATGGTGAGACGCTTTCATGAAAGTAGACCACATATAGGAACTTCCCTGAACATGTCTCAGAAGTTCTGTGTTGCTGAGGCCTCTTCCATATTTCGACTCCACCAACTGGACCCATAAGGCTTCCTTATCCTTGACAATGTGCCACCCTCCGTTGGCTAGCATTGCAAGGTTCACTTGTCTCGTCGATCGGATGCCAAGTCCACCATTCTTCTTCGGCTTCGTAGCTGAGGCCAACCCACAAGGTGAAGTTTCTTCTTGTCCTCCGTATCTCCCCAAATGAAGCTTCTGTTAATCCTATCAAGAGACCTGCACACACTCATGGGAAGCAATTCTGTCTGCATAGGATAGATGTTGACTTAACCACAGTGATCCGGGCAGCTAAAGATAAGTGCTTAGTCTTCCATGGGGCAAGCTTTCTCTGAATGTGGAGCATGAGATCTTGATATCTTGCTTTGGTAACTCTGCTGTGAATCGCCATCACCCCAAGATACCGCCCAAGGTCGATCGTAAGGGGAATCCCGACACATTGTGCGAGTCTTCTGGCAATACGTCTCTCGATATTTGCAGACACAAAAATTGTCGACTTGTTGTAGTTAACTCTCTGACCCGAGCTATGGTAGAACTCATCAAGAGATTGCTTGACAATTCGTTCTGTGCACTCTCTGCCTCTGCAAAAAGAATAAGGTCATCGGCAAAAAAGATGCGAGATACCATGGGACCATCATTGGAAAGTCTCAATGGTTTCCACAGTTTATCCTGAATAGGTTGATCAATCCTATGAGAAAGTCTTTCCATGCAAAGAGCAAAAAGATAGGGTGAGATAGGATCTCCCTGACGGACGCCACAAGTGGGGGTAATCGGGGCTGAAAGTTTGCCATTCCAAAGGAGACGCAACTTATTATTCTCAACATAGAACATGATGCAGTTCATCCAAGAGTTGGGGAGGCCAATTTCCTTTAGGGTATCCCGAAGGAAATTCCTTCGAGGTCTATCATAAGCCTTCTCAAGGTCGATTTTAAGCACCATGCCTCCTTTCCTGCCTTTCCTCTTCCTGAGAGTGTGTAGAACCTCCTGCAAAACAATTATATTGTCAGTTGTCTGCCTCCCTGGGATGATGTTGCTTTGACGGGGAGACACCATCTTCCTCATAATCGGCTTCAAGCGATTGGTAATGGTTTTTGTAATCGCTTTGAGGCACACATTGTCGAGGGAGATCGGGCGCAGCTGATTAACCATCTCTGGATGCTCTACCTTCGGAATAAGAACCACAGTTGGTTCTACCACCTTATCTGGAAGCATCCATGTAGGGGAAAAATTAACAGCCATGTCAATGAGGCTTTCCCAACAAGATTCAGAATAAGCAATTAAAAACACGTTTTTATGTAAATTCTTGAATTATTAATAATGTGTCAATGTGCAAGGTTAATGTGTGTCACAAAGGTCTCTACAATTTATTAGTAGACACGTAAACATGAATTACTGGATCGAGAATTATGCATGCTGTACAAGTATTATTAGTCAGTTACCCTATTAACCATAGGGAAAATTACAAAATCCTCCGCTGAAAAGAGGAACCATTCCGTTCCGCCTTTCACCAACATTTCCCACGTCAAAAACGAATCCCTAAATCTGCGAAATGGAGCTTTTCTCAGAGCAAATGTCACTGGTTTTCTAGTCGTCTTCAGTTTCTGCTTCAGCAAATCAGCGATTGTAGCCCGTCAGACTCCAAAGAGCTCGAATTACAACGGTGGAGAAGATAACGAGCCTCTCGTCTCGTATTGGTACCCGAAAACCGGCAATTCCTTTCTTGCCTGAGTTTCTGATTCTATTCCTTCTGGGTTTTTTGACTTTTTTTCCCCTCATTCTAATTTCTAGGCAGTAGTAGGTTCTTAGAACTAGAAGTAGCTGTAGTTGCCTGCTATAGAAAGCCATGTTAGACAACTGTTCTAGCTGGAAGTTGAGGCTAGATCAAAAATGGCAATGCGAAGATGCTTCTACTACCGATAGGTTAAGCCATCATCCAAGACCCATTCTTTGTCACATCCTTTCATTTCTCGACACCGAATCCGTCGTTCGAACCTCTGTATTGTCCCGGGCATGGAGGAGCGTGTGGAAAGATGTACTTGTCCTCCCATCTTCATCGAGGTTCCTTCGGAGATGCTTCGAGTTTCGAAAGGTTTGTGTCGAAGGTTGTGACCTTCCGCAATCACCTTAATCTCCGCACGGTTAGCTACATCGATGACGGACGGCCGTGGACAAGGAAACTAGGGATGGCAATTTCGACCTGACCCGATTTACCCGACCTGTTTGACCTGTTTTGGGGCGGGTCAAACCCGCCCCGCCTGGGCATGGGTACCTCTCATCGACCTGACCTGCCCTGACCCGCCCCATTCTCGACCCATTCTTTGCCTAAATTACATATAATCTTAGTCAAATTACTTAAGATTTTCCTCTTATTACATTATATTTTAGCTATAATAAAGTTGTAAATAAGTGAAAACCTCAATTTCTTCAATAATTTAACTACATTTTATCATGTTATGATTTCTTTCTTGGTCTTTCAATGAAAAGAACGAATATTTCTAATGTTTTTCACATAAATTACATACCCAATGGGTCGACCTACCCCAACCCGCGCCCCGTGATAAATTACCCGACCTGGACCCGACCTGCCATGGGGCGAGTATGGGTATCGAGATACCCGCCCCAGACCTGCCCCATTGCCATTCCTAAAGGAAACACAGGAGCATGTTTGTTAAGGTCGTTAAATATGTTGCGTCCTGTGAGGCTGAACATTTGATCGTTAACATAGGAAATGATCAGACTCTCGGGTGTTGTTTCAAGCTCTCCTATTTGTTTGGCTCAATGTTGGGGAACTGCAATTTGAAGACCCCTGGAATTGAGGTATGTTACTCTCGATAGCTGACGCTCATTGCTTCATTCTTTGTAGCTGTTTTCCGTCATTGATTCGATCTTTGGGCTTCAATTCCTTGGATTTATCTGGCCCTATTTACGATAACGGTCTCTTTATTCACAGCCCACAGGGATAACAAAGGATGAAAAAACTTCAATTTCCCGATTTCCCAAACCTGAATTCAAATTTCACTGCATCGTCTCCGCTTCCAAAGTGGAAACCCTAAATTCGGAGAAATGCCGAACGTAGCGTTTGTTGATCGGATCAAATTGTCGTAGTAGTTTCCTCGTTTCTTTTGGCGCGGGATCACACGGCAGCGAGAACTCCCACAACGGCAATCAAGCACAGGTGAATTTCCAGCTTGTTGATTCCTTTCTTGCTCAATTTCGGTCTGATAACTTTGTTGCTGTAGGTAGAATTGAGTTCATCTTCTGTATCCTCCTGTAGAAACTAGAAAGCCATGAACAACAGCAGTAGCTACGAGGTGGGGAAAGCTGTAAAAAGGCGCCGTAATGAACAACAACAACAAGAAGAAGAAGAATACAGCATCACTACAACTGACAGGTTAAGTCATCTTCCAGATCCTATTATTCATCACATCCTTTCGTTTCTTGACACCAAATCCGCCGTTCAAACGTCCGTATTGTCCCGGCTGTGGAGATCCACTTGGAAACATGTCCCCGTCCTCCGTTTGGTCAGTGGTTCATTCCGACGGTTCTCGAGTTTCAGAAGGTTTGTGGATAACGTTTTGTCCCTCCGTCGTCCCTTTAATGTCCGCGAAACACTCTTCGTTATGAGCCATCATCATCTTGAGGAGGATGTTAGTTTTGTTGCCAAGGTCGCCCAGTATTCCTTATCCCATGATGCTCAGCATTTGGTGTTTCAGCTGTTAGGTGTTACGGGTCTGGAAGCGAGTCGCCGATTGTCCAATTTGTTTGGCACGATCTCGCATTGCAGCCTCGAAACTCTACGGCTAAGCGTGTCCTTTATCGATTGTGGATTTGGATCTTTTGGTTTTCGGATGCTGAAGACGTTAGAGTTGCGTTGCTGCCAACTGGTTCCTGATGAGGATGGGGTATTCGATCCCTTTCCTAACTTCCCACGTCTGGAGAACTTGGTCCTGGATGGTTGCTGCCAGGGTTACGGCTATGAAACCCGTCTCAAGATATCTGGACCGAAACTGCTTAACCTGGAATTGTGCGTGATTTGGTTCGCAAGCGTGGAAATAGATGCACCAAGACTCAAACTCTTTGATCTCCACCATCTCCTGGACTCAGTAAAGTTTGCCAAGTTAAGCTTTCCTTCCCTTGATCATGCTATTATTGATATTAACGACCAATTCGAGTTCATGGAGGGTAACGAGGATTCAGTGGCACAATGTTTGATCACTTTGTTTCAAGGTTTAAGTAACGTGACCATTCTCAGGCTAGAACCTGAAACCATCAAGGTATTGTTTGGTTTATATCGTTTTAAATTCCTAATAAAGTATTCGTCGTTCTATGAACATTGCCGTAAGTTGAAATGGTTTCCGTTATCTGCAGGTACTGAGTAATGTTTTTCCTGAGATTCTGGATCAGCAGCAATCCTCTCCTTTTACTAGATTGGTGTCCTTGAATGTGACAGCGAACAGTGTACCTTACTCACTGCTCGCTTACTTCCTTGAAGGGTCCTCTGCTCAGGAACCAACTCTTCTTTATATATAACTTATTATTGGTTAAAACATTTTTGCCGTAGTGTAGCTTCTGATTGCGGTACACATGAAAATTATTTGCATTTAGCTTCGTTGTATTTAGCATCGTGCCTTAGTGGTGACTGGTGAGTATACTATAAAGCAAGTATGAACAATTTGCGAACCCTGCTGTTTGTTGTTGCTTTCCCCAGATGATATTGGTATGGTTCAGCATATTGTTGAGTAAAACGTCTCTACAACGTGGAATCAGCCTTGCAGTGTTGACAGTGGGGGATGGATATACCATAGTTTGTAGTGGTAGCCTTGCATTGCAGTGTTGCTGTTTTCCTTAAAACAGACAATCGTGAATCACTTTGCTATATGTGTAGCTTGTTACTGTCGCCATTTCTGAAGTATGAATTGCCTGGTTCATCTCAAAGAACCCAGTAACCATTTTGCATAGTGTCGTGATTCATCGTTTTCTTCAGCATCTTCTGAACGAGTAACACTCATATTTGATAAGTAATCTCTTCTCAGGGAGTAAAACTATGTATGCATACATGATAAAGTTCCAGGCATACCTGAATGGTACAGTCATCCAGTAGTAGCGTCTAAGTTTTTGCACCATGCAAACAGTGGAACAAGGAGTTCAAATAATGATCTACATGTGTTCTTGCCTCAGGTACCGACTTCTTGAAAGAAAAATGTAGTACAGAACCAAGTCTTGAGTCCTTAAGAATCTTTTAGCATAACCTTTTGACATAGTCTCTGAGAGTTGGTAAGTTGAAGAGCATGGTCCTCACATAGGGATGACAATGGTCGGGGACGGATAGTGCATATCTGTTACCCTACCCAAAGTAGTTCGGGTTTTACATACACTCATACCTACATAAGAAATGGGTAGAAAATTCAAACCGTGTCCATACCCGTTCGGGTTTCGGGTATCCACGATTATCCATGTGTAATAGTTTCTCTTTATAACTCCAACCAATATGTTAATATTCACACGTATTCTCAAGTTACATAAGACAAAAAGTACGACAATAATTCACTAGAATGAGGAAAATTAATTAAAATAACACAATTTCATAAATATATTATATTTGTATGCTAAATATAAAATATGTTAGAGAAAAGTATTGATTATTTCTAGACAAAATATATATGTATGTGTATAATCGGGCGGGTTCGGGTTGGATAGTGATAGAAACAGGGTTTCTATCGGTTTTGATATTTTGGGATTAGGGTCTATATGAATAGAATTAGGGATTGAGATAGAGAATTAGTGGAAGAAGAAGAATAGAAGATAGAATCGGCCGAAGCGTTAGAGGGCTAGAGAACGAGAAATTAGGAGATAGAGGATTAGGGTTTTGGAGAGATACGTTCTCAATAACTGTTCTTGCTTGATTATGACTGAATACTCAAGTACATATTTATAGGGAAAGATAGGAAAACCTAATAGTAACCCTAATACGACTAAAAGACTACTTACCCTAATAATAATAATTATCCTGACATAAATAATAATTGAAACCCTAAGAAATAGGTTTCTATCATCCCTCCCCCTTGAGACCAACCTTGCCCTCAATGTTGACTGACTCGACCCACTCCTTCACATTGCCCATGCTATCGCGCCTTGCCTCCTTCATTCTTGCGCTTCCTTTTCCTCAAATCGTGCTCCACTACTCGAATGAATCTCACACTAGCAACTCCAACTTCCATTGCTTCTTTTCTTGCCACGTGGTTCAGGTCGCAACTAGGGTCATAACCATGGCCACTTGACATCCCACTCTGTTTTACAAATTCTAAAAAGTAAGAATTAAAAATTTGTTCTTACTTGAGCCCACCATACTTAACCACCTCAAAATCTTCGAGCCTTTTTGTGCTCTCTTCTTCTCCAAGGGGGTTTGGACTAAGCTCTCTTAAAAGCCCACCTTCTAATTCAGTGAGCCCACTCCCTTCTTTCTTCAAATTTTGTTCCTGCAAAATAAATCCCATAAAATAGCCCATTGGTGGCCCAAGTTTTATATGATGTCTCGGCCCACCTTCCCTTTCCAAGAGATAGGAAATGAACTAGGCCTCTACTTCAGCTACTGCTAACCCACTCAGCTGGCCTAACAAAACTCGGCCCCAAGAGAAGCCCAGGAACTTCTCCTTCATTTCAAGCCGTGACCAAAATAGTCGAAAAAATCCAAAAGTACCACTGTTTAAAAAAATAATTCCAAAAATACCATTCAACCCCAGAAAATTCCAAAAATACCACCCTTTTTCAAAAACCGCCACCCCACCCAGCGGTTTGGTCCAATTTTTTTTTTATCAACTCCTAACTTCGGCCAAAACTTCAAACGAACGTAACTTTGCACTCGGGTATCCGATCGTAGCGATTTTTTTTTATTTCGCATAACTTTTTAAGATCTACAACTTTTACTATGATGAAATTTTCAAAACAGGAATTAGTTGTGGATATACGGGACCTTGGGAATAACTTTACCTTTACTTTTCACAAATCCATGTACATTTTGAAATTATGATTATGTTAAAAGTTGTATATCTTTAAAAGTAATACGGAATCAAAAAAAAATTCAGGACATTCGAATTTTGGAGCACAAAGTTATGGCCGCCCAAAGTTTGACGAAATAAAAAAAGGCTCGTTCGGGGTGGCAAATGACGTTTTTCCGAGACGAATGCGGGACCTGATCGTCTGCAGCTTGCAAGATCTCAAAAAGTTATTCGGATTCAAAAAATGGAGGCCGCAAACTTTTTGAGATCTTGCAAGCCGCAAACCGCCGGGTCTCGCCTTTCGTTAAAATTTGGGCGGCCATAACTTTGTGCTCCAAAATCTGAACGTCATGAATTGTTTTTTGATTCCGCATAACTTTTCAAGATCTACAACTTTTAATATAATCATAATTTCAAAATGGACATGGATTTGTGAAAAATAAAGGTAAAGTTATTCTCAAGGTCCCGTATATCCACAAATAATTCCTGTTTTGAAAATTTCATCCTTGTAAAAGTTGTAGATCTTGAAAAGTTATACGAAATAAAAAAAACAATCGCTACGATCGGATACCCGAGTGCAAAGTTACGTTCGTTTGAAGTTTCGGCCGAAGTTAGGAGTTGATTGGAAAAAAAAATTTGGACCAAACCGCTGGGTGGGGTGGCGGTTTTGGGCCAAACCGCCACCCCAGCCAGCGGTTTGGTCCAATTTTTTTTTATAACCGCCTCCTAGGCTGCGGTTTGCATAGAAAACCGCGCCCCGACAAGCGGTTTTCTTGTGAACCGCAGAGTGGGATGGCGATTTTTGAAAAAGGTGGTATTTTTGGAATTTTTTGGGGTTGGGTGGTATTTTGGAATTCTTTTTTTAAACAGTAATATTTCTGGAAAAAGTCCCAAAATAGTCCACTACTCCCGACCCATTGGAATAGTGGGCCCGAATTAGATCACTATGCTGATTTGATCCGCCCAAACAGAGCCTGAGTTTTGCCTGCTCTAACACCAGACCATCAAGCCCAGCGATCCAAACAGTGCGGCCCACGGATCCGAGGGCGACCCGCCCAACTCGTTGTTGCGATGCTGCGCACCCCCAATTTGGAGACTTAGGGTTTGCGACCGCCAAATCAACACCGCCGCACTCTGCCTCCTGCTCGTTTGTCGACTTCCTCGCCGGTGAATAGCTTCTCTGGCAGAGAGGACCAATTGCTTCTGGCCTCATCTTCGCCGTCTTCACCTCCAGGGGCGGAGGCAGAGAAGAAAAGCCAGGGTCCCGGGACCCACCTTGGATTTGGGCCAGGGAACTAAAAATAGCTGGTCATTAATACTTCCGGGAAGAATGAAGAATTGAACCTTGGTCATCGGAAGGGAAGCTTAGAAGAGCTACCATTAGGCTACACTGAATTGTGTAATTTTATTAACCTCAAGCCTTTTTATACACTTCAAAACTAATTTAGAATCACATTCAAACTTATAGATACTTTCGATTTGTTTATTCCAAATCCCCAATTCAGAAGCTTTCGATTTGTGAAATTGACTTTGTTGTTACTAGTTGCCATCACAAGTGTTGAAAGAGTATTTTCGACAATGAACTACGTGAAGAACACACTACGAAGTTGAATGAGTGATGAAGTGTTGAATGAATTTTTGGTAGGATATGTTGAGAGTGACATCTTAGATAGGCTGGATGATGAGTGTATTTTACAGACTTTTCAAGATATGATAACACGCCGTGGATCATTGTAAACATTAATTATTTCGGACCCACCCTAACCGAAATCCTGGCTACGCCCCTGTTCACCTCCTCACTGGTTGACTTCTTTGTCTCGTTCCCCGTCCCTCTTCTTCTGAACGACGACTTCTTCCTCAACGGCGATCCCTTCGTCGCCTCATTCTCTGATGGCGCACAAGCCATCCTGCGGCAACCCCGCCGCATTTCTGGCCTTCCCCGCGGCTTGACCTCCTTGTCCCCCGGTGTCCCTTTCATTGTTGCTCGAAGTGGCGCCGCCGATGATCGCGCAGCGACCCGCGCACCGCTCGTCTCCGGCGAACCCCTTCGCCGAACCCGACTCCGGCCAAGATCCCCGGTCGCCTGTCGCCGCCTCTTGGGTCTCGTTTGCCGACGTCGAGCTGCTAAGACAACAGTTAGGAGGTCCGCTTGCTGGCTTCTTCTCCTTGGGGGACGCAACTGGAGCCACGGCAACCGTTTCATCGCTCCTTATCACCACGACGAGAGTTGTTCTCGAACTTCGCACCACTCGCGATGTCGGTGAGTCTGTCCTTCGGCTCGTCATCTCCTCTGCTCCGTGTCGACTGTCGATTCCGCCATGAGACTCCATCAATCGCATGCCTCGATCCGCGACACAGGGCCCCAACTCCGTCTTTCCTTCCGACGTCACCTGCACGATTGGAGTCGTCGCTAGTCGTTGCTCCAACTGCTAGCCTCTCAACTCTGCTTGACCCAGCTCCGTATTCTCGTTTGCTTCCCCCCTGTGAAGGCTGTGATGGTCGACTTCTCACGACCCTTCTGCATCTTGAAATTGGAGTCATCTCCAGGTCTCTTCTTCTTTTTGTACCTCCAACTAAACCTGCCAATCTTCACCAGGGGATCTTCAATTGAAGCTTCGGGTTCTTGGGACTTCACCTGTGAGGTCTTTGAAGCTGCCACGACAGTGGTTGGTGGCGATGGTGACGTTGTACTCAGAACGGCAGCCGCGGTTGGTGATAACTGCGACATCATTTTAGCCGAGGACAAGGGCTTGCCATTGGTGTTTGGCTGCTCGGCGTCCGGCCTCAGCTCCAACTGCAGTTTCTTCACCACAGTGAACGCCACCCTGAGAGGATCCTCGTCGCCGGTCTCCAAAGCTCCCCCGAGCTCTCCGCCTTGCTCGCCTGCCGCCGCGCCGCGGGCCCCGGCTCCCGCCGTCGCCAACCACGC